CCCCTCCCCTGTTTTTCTCAACCTTTGCCCATTTAAAGTGGTGGGGACTACACCCCCAAAATTACCCACGCCAGCATTGTTGGCGGGGGAATTCTGGGAGTTGAAGTCCACTCATCTTAAAGTGGCCAAGTTTGGACAACACTGGCTTAGGCAAAAGTTCCAGTTTCTGCTGGGACAGAGAGAAATTTGTCCGATGTCTGTTCCTCTGTCACATTACTTCAGCAGCAGCAGCAGCAGCACGCAGGACCTGAGAGTAACCACATATAAGTGCCTCCTTCTCTACTCAGACCAGTTCTCCAGATGAGCAGCAGCTGGCCAGTGGCATGAAAGGCAAGCTCCAGCAACAAGACTTGGCTAAACGAAAAGCAGTGTAGCAGGAAAGGTGTTATTTGTATGCAGTTTCCCTTAGGAAAGGAACACTGAACACAGCATCCTATGTGAGACATTTTCTCATTTAGAAGGCTGGACAAAAACCAAACGTCTAGTGCCTCCTTAGCTGAACTTAGAATGAAAATGAAAGTGCCAGTACATTCCCCATCACGCACAGCCTAAGGAGGCCTAACAGACTTCCAGCAGGTCCCATTTGAAACACTAGATATGCTGCCCCTCAAAAATCGTATAGGAAACTCACTGTATTCAAGACAGCACTAGAAAACTGAATACGGAAAGCAGCAATAGAAAACAGTTAAACCATTTGAAGCTGCATAGGAGATGTTGTTCTAATAGCTCTTATTTCATGATATTTATCTTCATATAAGAGGCACATCAGCAACATCCTACAGAATTCAAAGGATTACTATAGAATAGGTCGATATGATGAGGTATTTTTCAGGAATCTCTATGCTCACCAGCAATGCTGAGACATCACCTCAATATAGAAACTTAGGCTGTAGCTTCATCAAGCCTACTATTATATTACTGGCTGGCAGTATTTCCCCAGAGACTTACACTGAAGTCTTTCCCAAAACAGCTAAGCAAGATTGCTTTAATCTGAGTTACAAAGATCACTGGGGCTGTTCACATAAAAAGCATGTGTTTGTTTTCTAGACCACGGTCTTTCCTGTAGAAAGGCTGGATTGAAATTAATGCTTAGCAAGGTCATTTTGCTCTGCAGCTTTCCTAGAAAGCTGTTCTGAAATGCTGGAGAGGTCAAAGCAATACAGATGGGAGAGAGCGGCCTCCTTATTCCAGAGAAGAGCCTCTGCTGGATCCCTCTGCTTTCTATTTACAGAACGCTCAATTTGAATCCAACCCACTCGTCTGAAGCGGCCTAATTACAAGGTATTTCTCATGCAGGAGTCATCCTGCCTCATTCACAGAATGCTAAAGGTGCCTTGCAAGCAACTTCTTCTTCTGGTGCACAAACATGGAAGGGTAACGATGATCATCTTTTTTAAGCTACTACATATATACAAAGAAAAGGAAAAAATAGAACAGTTGCACAATGAAATTGAATAATAGCTCCAGGAGCTGTCCATCCAAAAGTACCCTTGTGTAGGAGAATTTCCTTCATTATGAACATCTGGCATTGGCTGGAAAACTGAAGCTCACACATCTGGGGGGTGCCCGGATTAGAAAAGGCTGCTATACACGATTTAACTTTTTCTCTGTCTAATAATGATTTCTAGATTCTTGTCTTACAAGGCTGGAATCTGGCCCAAAGTTAGCACTGGATACAACATGGACACAAGAGTCTCTAGAATATTCTCTGATGCTTGGAAAAAGAGAAGGCTGTTTAAAAAGCAGCCAACAGAAGGCAAGGTGGCTAGACTCTACCACCAGCTTGAAAGAACTCAAGGAAGCCATTACTGGCAGACCATCCTGACAAAATGATGTCCATCAGGTCAGGAAGGGTAGGGAGCGACTGAATAATCAAACAATGGCTAACTTATCACTGAAGCCCATGGTATTTCAGCAACAGGTGTGGCTGTTAACACCCATTTAGTAACTGGCTTCTGACAGGAACATCCAGCTGCCTCAGTTCTGCCCAAGGAAATTCGTGTGAACGGTCATCTTACCCGACTCTCTTTCTCTCTTCTACCGATAAACCAAGGAAAAATTCTTTAAAGCCATACTCCTTGGAAATGTTTGCCAGTTAATTAATAGGAATTTAAAAAAAAGTCATCGGCAGTTAGTAGAAGGCACATTGCAACTCACCGCCCCATCCCCAAATCACGCGGGAGCCTGCCTCTGCGCAAAGTGCGCCGCTCAGCCCACGCGCTCCACCGATTTCGACAGGACGCTCTCCGAGCAGAAACGCGTCGGGGAGGGGGGGGGCGCTACCTCCCGGCGGACCGAGCTCCGCCACAGACTCTGAGAGCGAGCCCGAAAGGGGACGAAGCCTAAACCGGCTTCGGGGGAGTCAGAGCCAGGTCTCCAGGCGTGTTTCACCAAAGGGGCGGCCAGGGAGGAGTCCTCGTTTCCCCCAGTTGTCGCTGCGGGACCCAGCGCCGTTAGTGCTGCCACTGTTGGTCGCTGGATTTTATTACGCAGAAGTTTCCAAGGTCCTTCCGCTCCCGGGGCCGGGGGCAAGGCGCTCAGTGCCCCAACCATCAGCATTTTGCACACAAACCTCCGTTTTCCAACTAAGCCGGTGAGCGGGGAGGGCGCAGAAGCCTCCGCGTCGCGGGAACCCTCACCGGAGGCGGCGGCGGCTCGGCCGTTCCGGTCTCTTCTTGCAGCTGAGCATTACATTTTTTCACCCCTCGCGGCTTCATTTATAAGCCCCGCCCTCGGACAGGCCCCGCCCCCTTCAGGCGGGGGGAGCGAAAACGCGTTTGTCTCCTGCCGATGTGCGGTGAGTTGGTGTGAGGATCTGCGGGCAAAGTGGGAATGACTGAAACGTGGGAAGTTGGAATCAGGCGCTCACTCAAAATATTTTCGGATTCCCCAATGGGCAGGCGCCGTCTCGTTAAAAAAAAGAAAAATAAAAGAGGTAGGGGTGGAGTTGCTGTCTTGGAACTTACGCTCCGGAGATACTGGAAGAAACCGGATTCGTTCTTGATCCAAGACACGAACTCACTTTTTCAGCATCTGAAGGGTTCTCTTTGATTTTTGTTCCCCAGCATTGGACTTCTTCAGAAACTTGACTCTCTGAGCCACATTCACCACCAAGTGCATTGTAGCAAAAGGTGCAGCCAAAATATCCTACCTGATGGGTTCATGTATCATCTTGAATCATAGCTTGTTGAATAAACCACAGTTAATTGAGTTCATGTCTGCTATGTGAATGCAGTCACGGTGGTTTGCAAACCATAGTTTGACTTGTTTAAATATCCAACAGTGGTTTATTTAATAAACCATGGTTAAACAAAACACGGCATATTGGAACTTGGGATTTTTAAAAAAAGCTTGCATTTCATACCCATTGCCCTAAGTGTAAACTCCATTGTACTAAATGTGAAAAGCCAAGTGTTTGCAGTACATTTCTGACCTTCTGGGAGAAATACGGTAAGTAGTTCTTTAGGATTGGTGAGGATTCCATCAAGTTGTAGGTTTCCCACTTTGAGAATCCAAGAACATCCAAGAGCTAGATAGGGGCAGGGCAGTTAAGGGTAGGGGGATATGAGTTACAGTAGGTTGTATGCAGAACAGAGGTTTTTGTGGGGAGGGGGTAATCTACAACATACACAGTAGTATAAAAGCTGTCCACATTTTCTGATCCTAGGGACAATCCATTACAGTGAAAGAGCTAACTGAAGCAATTAGATCCCATGGGTGCAAGGCTAACAATGTTTTTGAGAAGTCTAACTCACACAGTGAAAGAGAAACATCCCTTGAATTCACAGTTCTCTGCCTCAAAGCAGAAACCCATTTCACAGGAAGGGAAAAGTGAATCAAGAAAGATAAAAATTGAAAATAGTTCATAAAAGGCCCATTTGGAACCCACAGATTAGGCTAGTTCAGCAGGAATTTATTGTGCAAAAATACAGAGAAAAGTAGTTTCAAGATAGGGAGGGCAAAGTAGGCAGAGGGTTTGGTTATTCATTAAACCATTATTTTTATAATTCAGTACCAGCCCATTTCATAGAAATACAGCATCATTTAAAGAATTGAAAACAAAACAAAGTACATTGAATAAAGAAAACAGCAAGAGTTAAAAGAACAGTTTCTCCACAACCACTCTTATACTCATAAAATGCTTAAAAAAAAATGGAGGATTTTTTTTTAAATGGGGGGGGGATAAAGGGCTCTAGAGAAAGCCCAATACAACCTCACGTAAGCCTGCCGATTCCTGAAGATTTGAGTTCTTCAGAAAATTTCAGGATCAGAGCCTCTTTTCTGAGGTTTCTAAGAAGAGTAAAATTACAAAGGAAGAGAGTCAACAGCCAAGCTGTTTTCTTCTTGCCTTAAAGAGATCTTTTGCCTACCTCGATGTCTGAGATGTATATTTAATACTGCAAAATCTGTACATCTGGGTAGTCCAGCAAAAGGATATAGGCCTAAGAAAATAGGGTGATGTTAAACAATATAATTTCAGAGAAATCATTATAAAGTGAGGCTATGAAGAATCTAACAGGCAGAATGGTTTCTAAGGTGAAAAAGAAGTAGATTCTTCCAGCAATGCATTGAACCAGGCCAATTAAAAATGCATTGAGCTGAAAATGAGAAGGTTGGGGAAAACATTTTGTTTTTTGAGACGTTTGCATGGAAGCAAGAACAAAACTAGTAAAAATGTAAATCATTTTACAGAAATGATAGAAGTGCAGGGGGATGTGGATGAAACTGAGAAAAAAATCCAGTTTATTTTGGACGCTTGTGAGCAAACTCATGAAACAAAACCCTTGGTTGCTGGAACAGGTGTTTCTGTGAAAAGACTGCTGGCTTTATCACTAGCACTGACTATTAACCACTTATCATCCATTCTGTCCTTTGAAGGTATAATGGAGATTTCAGATCAAAACCAGACCATGATTCAAGACTCTCTCTTCTAATGCATGAAAACTTTTGTGGTTGAGGGCAACCATTTTGCTCCTTAATCCCTCCCATCTCAAGAGTTTTAAAAGGCAGCATGTTTTTCGTCCTTAACTCTCCAATACCCCATACTGCCAAAAAAAAAAAAAGAGCTCAAAACTGTTGGCTCTGGGGGGCTGTTGAGGCATTGTGTGGCCTGGAGGTTGGTCATTCCATATTAAACCATCATCATTGTTTAATTCTGGCTTACATTAAATTAACACTTGTGCTTTGTAAATCATAGTTTATGTTTTAGTGTGATGTGTGAATCTACTCTGTGATTAACCATTCTTAGTCCATTTTGAAACTGGGAACTGTAAACTAGTTACTTGAAGAACTATCAATCATATTTGATTTACAATAAATTTACAATTTATTCCACTTCCTTGAACCGGCACATAGTGATGTCAATTTTAATTAATGGTTATTTTTTCTCTTATTCACTGTTAAGCAACACTATGGAGGATTGATTGGCATCTTAAAGGTCTTGACTTTTTCACTTGTCTTAGGTTAAACTGCTGAGCACCAGACTTCCTAATGTATAATGTGTCATAGACTCAGTGCTAGGGATCATATGATCAGAGTCTGATCACCTCTGTTCTGACCCCTCCCTCAATTCTCCCTCTTCCTCCTCACCCAGCAATCTGCCATAGGAAGAACAGACTGCTTTTTCTGAGGTCTAAAACCATTTCTTACAGTTGGTTTCCCCATGCTTACTTGAAGCCTTTTTCTGGTTGAGTCATTTTCATTTTTATCCAGATATTATAGTACAATACTGCATTCACATGATTAACTTAATCATGGTTTATACAATATAATTTACTGGATTTGCATGACACCCTTAACTGTTAACTAATTCAGGGTCTACATTCACACAACACACTGGGCTAAAATGTTTAAATTCCATTCATCTATTTATCCCAATATTTTGTTTCTTGTAACATGACAAATGAAAGAGTTAATGAAAATATGGTATGACTGATTGTTGTGAGTGCATATTAAAGTAGGAATCCACAGGTTGTCATAACTGCATATGATGCTCTGTAGTGATAATGGAATGAACTAGGAATTAATTTTGGGGAAAAAAACCTCTGGAACTTTCTGAATGAATATGATCCAGAAAAAAATATTATTGTGCTCAGTAATATTTATGGATCTGTCAGAACATGATGAGATGGTACACAGAAAGTGATTGCGGCATTCAGAGAGCCAGTGAGAATGATGATTGGTGAAAAATATCTGTTTTGAATACACGTTTAATCATAAATCTGTTCTTACATATACATGCCAAAAAATGAATATAAATCTAAAATCATGATTGATTTGTTTATGATGAATGATTGAGACTATGAATGAGAGTGAAAGAATTGTTACAAGGTGCCATAGAAGTGTACAGAATTATGCTAATGAGAGGTTAGAAAAAGATGCTTGGTGGAATGATAAAGTGAAAGAAGCTGTGGATGAAGAAAAAAAATACATAAAACGATTGCTGCAAAAATGAGGAGAAACATAATGTGTATAATGTGCATAGAGAGAAAAATATAGTTGCGAAAATGTTGTCAAATAGAGCAAGGAAGGGTTAAAATTAAGAGAGGCAGAGAAAATACAGGGGGATTTTGATGAAAAAAAATTCAGAAGAGGGCTAAACAAGGAGTCTCTAGTAGAATGAATGAATCTGAAAAATAATGTATAAAATATATAAATGGTTGCTTTTGGAAGAGAAAGTGAACAAGTGCAAGTTATACATTAATGGCAAAAAACTAGAGCAGGTGGATGGATGGATGATTGAATTTTATTATGGCCTTTCTCTGATCAACAGAAACTGGACTCTTGATAGAAAAGTAAAAGAATTTTGCGCCTCTTTTTGTTATATTTGGGCTCATATCAATATGACAGTATGTTACATAAAATAAACTATTTCTTCTTGAAAATCTCAAAAATAAGTCCTTTCTTATATCACAATAGGGGGCACAACATAGGAGAACATGTGTCACAGTTTCCAGGGCACCAAAGTCATAGACAGATACTGTTACATGATTGGCGCCTTCTGTAAAATGGGTGAGAAAGTCCATTTAAATGTATCCTTTTCCTTTTCCTTTGATTTTGCTTTGTTCGTTTGCATGTTTTACTTAACTAATTAAAAAAGAGATGTTAAAGAAGATCAAAAACTTCAGTAGATTTTAGATCTCTTTTTCAAGAAGAAATAATATTTCAGAAATGACCTCATTGCATTTCTATAGAAAAGGCCTGAGTAACTAGTTATGTTGTTGGAGATGCAGTGAAACTAATGTTTGATTTAAATATATATTTCTATGTTCAACGATTGTTCCATTTGGATAAGACTTTACTACGTGTATTAATTCAATTTTGACATTCAGTATTTTTAGATGTTTATATTCTTTTGAAGTTGACATCTAGAAAAAGAAAGTGGATTTTTGTACCTTACTTACAGCTAAGACCTACTGGTCAGTATTGGAAAGGCAAAATGTATGGCTCCAACTATTCAATGATCTGCAGAATTTATCAATATAGACTAGCTATGGATGACTGTAGTTAATTAAGGCTTCCATTCATTGAAATGTTTACTGTACAACCTTATGTGTGTGTGTGTGTGTGTGTGTGTGGGTGTATGTGTTCCTGTGAATATATGCTCTATATGTTTTTGTTTCTTTTTTAACTTTCTTTCCCCCCCCCTCTTTTATAATTTTGTGTA